GTGGAATAGTAGCTAGTTTAACAATTCCCTGAAAAAACAAAAATGTCACAAGGCAGTGGTGGCACATGCTTTTAATTCCAACACTTGGGAGGCAGAGGCAGGCAGATTTCTGTGAGTTTGAGGCTAGCCTGGTCTACAGAGTTGGTTACAGGACAGGCTCCAAAGCTAAACAGAGGAACACTGTCTCAAAAACCAAAATAAAACACAAACAACAAAACCCCACAAAATAAGGCATTATTGCTACCTATGATGTCTATTCTACAGACTCCTGACCGAAACAGCCCAGGCAGATGGATTTAGTGAAGGCAGAGCTGACTGGTAGAGCCACTGCTCAGTGTCGACCATGCACACTAGCCAAAGTTCACACAGTGTATACAGTCAAGCCCACCTCTAATGTCAGTGCCGTACTCCCTGATTTCCAGCATGATGACACAAGTGGAGCCTTCCATGTGACCCCATGAGCTGCCTCTGTTGAACACGGGCACACTAACTGTAAATAGTAGTGCACACGTTACCTTCAGACCACATATTGTGAAAGGAAAGTTTCCTGTTCAAGCTGAGTTCCATCCCCAAGGACTCTCATGTATGTGCAAATATTTCACAGTCTGAAAAAATTACAAGTCTGAACTATTTCTTATCCTAAGCATTTTGTAAAGGGAGGTCAGCATGTGTGTACTGGGATTCTTAGGCGTATGTAGGACACGCTAGAGCTTTAGAATGTTCATTTTAACATAGGTTATTGTGGGTCCCCCCTCATGTTGAAATGACGTCTTTTGTGTAAATATGTCCATTGGTAGTGTCTCTTGTGACTTTTTTCCATGCTTAGAAGGTATACTCACACCAGTTATAAGAAAGTCTTCCATGTTTCCCTTTGAATACTTGTGGATTTGTTTTGACATTTAAACTTAGGGTTTGTTTATGGGCACAACTGGACACAGGACCTTGTCCCCCAGCCCCATCCCAGCAGTCAGGTGTCCTGGGGCCATGCAGTGACAGCTGACCTTTCTGCAGTGATCTGAGTGCTCCATTGCATAGCCTGCATTCCCCGATGCTATCTTTGGTATCTGTGGGTGTCAAAATTGTCCTGATTTAGTCTTCTCTGTTTCTGATGGTTCTTGCTTAGCTCATCTCCCTGATGATGTACCTGAGTGGTGCTTCAGGTGCCTATCATTCAGTTACTCTCTAACTCTCACTGTCTGAGACGTGGGTTTAGATTAGTGCTCGAGTATGGGCTTGATGTGCACAAAGTACTTAGTCTCTCTTTAATACCTGATCCAATTAACTAATAAAGAATGATCACCTGATTTTGGTATATCAATCTTTCTATTTTAATATCTTCATTGGTTTCCCAAAAGAATTTATGAAAGTATTTAAAAATAGTTTGTCAGCTGAATTTTTAGGATCCTAATTATGCGGTTTGCAAATATGTTGTTGGATTTTTGTGCCCTCTCTGCTGTATTGCTCACTGGCTTTCAGTGTCTTGGAGAGGAGCAGCAGCAGGAGATATCTTAGCGTAGCCCGGTCACATTACAGAAGTACCTACTCATTTCTGTGTACTTATGGGCTGGGCATTGAACTTCATGAAGTACCTTTCGACCTGGATTACATTTTTAAATTGTGCATCTGTATCTATGTTTGTATGTAGGTATGTGTACAAGAGCACAGGTGCCCGTGCAGGCCAGAAAAGCCTTGGATCCCCTGGACATAGCTGCATTGTCAGCCACCATGTGGGGGCTCTGAGCTGAGCTCTAAACCATTGTGCCCTTGCCAGCCCCCTGAATTATATTTTTAATGACTTGTTTTGCTTTTAGTCTGTTAATAAATTTTATGTTTATAGTTCTCCATATTAAATTTTCACTGAACATTTAGTAATGGTTTTTGCTTTTGATATTTGAATTATGTACATGTATTAACATTCACAAACAGATTTTAATATTAGACTGTATATGTAAGTATCTTTTGTTAAAATTGTGCATGAGCTTTCCTTTGGTATACTAGCTTTTATAAGGTTTTTTTTTTAATCATTATATGTTAGTACCCTTCTCTACCTTTATTATTATGGGTTAGAAGAGAATCTGGTCATCCACTGAAGTATGGCAAAGTCAACTTCTGACCGTGTCTCCTGTTGACGTTTTTTCTAGGGAAGCTTTCTGCCAATCTTTTATTTATATCTTTGGAAACTGGAATTTTTAATTGACCAAATAACTGAATTGTGGTCACTTATATTTTTTTTTTTTAGAAAACTACAGCATCTATATTTTGTGAAGACATGAAAAAGTAGCAGTTTGGGACTATGAGGGTTTCCCTTGTGTGTGTCTCTGTCCTCTAGCTAGGTTTGATTTGCATGGCTCTTTGCTGTGGATTCAATTAGCCAGTGATGAGTCTGTGTTTTTTCCAAGAAAAAACTTCTAAGTTACTACTATCAGGTGGTTTTTCTGACTTAATGGCCTTAGCCTTGTCTGTCTTGGATCTTTGTGATGTTCCAGGTTCATCATCTGTTGCAGTTGCGTGACCAACAAAGTCTGTATCACTTTTAGAAACCTATCTAGGCTGTCTTTGTGTCCACTTCATGGTCAGTCCTGTGTACCCATTGCGGTATTTAGTTTTGGTTCCAGACCTGTTAGTTAGGGCTCTAGATCCATGTTCTGTTTCCCATAGATATTTTCCATGTGTGAACTCAGAGAAGTGAATGAATGTCTCTAGCACTCCATTTACTTTTCACAGGTTTTATATTATAGCTGTCTCAGTCTTTATAGTTTCTTATGACTTTTTTCAGTGTAGGTGCTCTGAGTTCCAAATCCTGTAAACTGAGACCCCATCCTGCCATGTTTGTTTTTAAATTGTTTTTTTAATTGTCATTTAATGTTATTCTATGTGAATATTCTGCATTTAGTTTGTGTTGTTGTTGTTTTGAGACAGGGTTCTCTGTGTAACAGTCCTGGTTGTCCTGGAACTCGCTCTGTAGAACAAGATGGCCTCAAACTCACAGAGATCTGCCTGCCTCTGCCTCCTGAGTGCTGGGATTAAAGGCGTGCACCACCACCACATTCTTTAAGAATTTCATATGTTGTATTTTGCTCATATTCGCCCATCCTCTGTCTGTTCATTTCCAGTATGTGCACTGCTGTTCTCACCTGTCACAGGTGACGTGCTTTCCATTTTTACTGACTCCTTTGTTTCTGTGTTTCATTATATGTGGTGTTGTGTGTGATAATTAGGAAACTTATTTATAAATCTAAATAATCTCTAAGGTAGCTTTTAAAGGCTTTTGATTGAGAATGTGGCAGAATTAGTATGCTTGGACTTCATCTTCTTCCCTGACACATTTGTTAATTACAGCATCTCCATTGTCGGAGTTAATGTTCTGTTCTGTTCTCTAATCATAATCTCCATGTTTCTTTCTGTCTTAGTCCTTCAGTTAATTATTTGACAGAAAAAGGGAATCTGTAAAAGTGAGCTGTCTCCTAAACAGAAAGTCACCATCTTCCCCATGGTGAAAACACAGGCTGTCTGGGCTTTCTCCAGAAAAAGGACAGAAATTCATCTTTTGACTCAAGAAGGTCCTTAAATGCTGGGTTTTCTTTTTTTGTTTGTTTGTTTGTTTTTCGTTTTCAAAATCATGATAAAATTTATGTCCTGTTTTATTTCCTCTTATTTTACTTATTTATTAAGATATATTATTGTCTTTTCTTGGATGGGATATTCCTGGGAAGAGTCTGATTTTTTGTTGTTGTTGTTTTGAGGCAAAGTCTCACTCTGTACCCTAGTCTAGCCTCAGACTTGCTATGGAGGCTTTGTGGTCCACCCTGCCCTTGAGCTCAAACTCCTGATGTCTCCTGAGCGCTGCGATTACAGGTTCTGTTTTTATCTAGATTGGCAAAGGGCTCTTTGAAAACCACTAGTTTATAGGGAAACAAAATGTTGATCTTTTCCATTTTTTTCTTTTTTTAATGAATAAAAACAGAATATGTGGTGTTTTGTATGAAATAAAACCAATAATAGATGATGTACAGATGGACATACACAAATAGTAAAATACTGGAGTAAGTAGCCGGTTGACATAGGAATTACTATTACTTTCTGTGCTTCAGGGACAGTTTGTAATGTTTCACTTATTTTTTTACTTTTAAAATGCCATAAATATGTAGATCAGTTAGCACTAGCGTGCACATTTTCTTTCTGATGATGGCATGTGTCCATGTTTTCTGTCTAGCAACCATTCACACAATCTCACACACTCACTAGCACCATTTCCTGAGCTTTGAGTTCAAATACTTTTTAAAAGTATTAAAAGTACTCTGAAGCCCTTGATAGATAGAGTGTGTCATTAAATTGCTTGGTTGACCCGTGTGCCCAGTGATTTGTATTTGTTAGTTGGGACTATTTTGGACCACTGTTTTTCCAAACACACAGGCTTAAACTAGCACCATATGCTCCTTAGCGAGCCTGTCTGAAAGGGCCCATGTATTGTTAGGCTGCCCCATCTTGGGTGATGCTGGTTTGATCTTTTCCTATAGTTTCTTTACTTTATAATTGTGTTTGATATAAAAAAGTTTTGTCTTTAAAAAATATTTAAAATGTGACCTAATTCAGAAAATTGCTAATGGCTAAAAACAAACTGTTAAAAATGTTGCAGTCTAAAAAGATCCTGTCATAGATACTTTGGGGCGATGTGCCTTAGATCTAACGACTTGTGTTTCTAACAGTCTGTGAAGAGCCTGGAAATAAAACCTTTGCCTAATTTATCATTTTCCATGAAAAAAAAATAGCATCATAGAGTTGAGAGCTTAAACACTTGTTTCCTCCCCTCCTTCTTTCCCTTCTTCCGTCCCTCCCCCTCCCTCCTTTCCCCCATTCTTCCCGACTTCTCTTCCTTTGTTCCTTCCGTAAATAGAAGTCATAATAATAGAGGAACAAATGACCCTCCCTTTTCTTGTTTGTACTCCTTTCTAGTTGGCATTACTGAGAAATTTCTAACTTTGTGTTTTCTCTGTGTTCAGGTATATGTCCCGAGTCCACGGTATGCATCCCAAAGAGACCACCCGTCAGCTGAGCTTAGCTGTGAAGGATGGTCTTATTGTCGAAACTCTAACAGTGGGCTGCAAAGGCTCAAAAGCTGGTATTGAGCAAGAAGGCTATTGGTTACCAGGAGATGAGATTGTAAGTCTATTTTACTTGATAAATTCAGAAATTTGGACTTTTGGTTTTCTTTGAATATTAATATAACGTATAGAAATTCATTGTCAGAAATTTAATAGGTCTTAACATTTTTATTAACATAAGGCTCTATATTGATAGCTTCCTTGTGATTCCTTAGGAGAAAACTAACTTTTACAAAAATCTTGCCATTCTCTCTGTTATCTTGCATCTAAAAATTAAAACTATATGCATATAAGTCATGACACTTCTGGTGCTTTCTTCAGCTAATATTAATTTTAAAAAATGTTTCAGTGCAGGACAGGGTTTATACTGCCTAGACAGATGGAAAGGGACACATTGCCTATTTAGGAAAGCTCACTTGAATGGCATCAATCCCGAGCCAGGCTTACAGTAGAGTTCTTATGCACATACAAAGATCTCAGATACTAGCGTGACTGGTCATGTGACTACTGGCAGGCTGCCGGTTGGCCCTGAGCATAAGTCAATCAGGATGGATGGAAAGTTACTTTTTCCTGTACCTCTGTTTAGCGCCAGCTGTGATTTCCCTTAGGGGAGATGCTTTACACGACTATGTCCTTTCAGGACATAGTTTGATGCAGAGAGGCACATAGAGAAGGATTTTCTTCTTGCATAAAGATTGATTTTATTTGTGGTATTTCTGTCTCACCATCATATCTTTTATATTTTAACCAACTAATTGGAAATGCCTTCTTTATTATAATAAACATCTTTTAAGATAATAGGTTTCAAATGTATGTTTTGGGGGATTTAGTAATTTAATTTTCTAACATCTAAAATTTTGAAACTCTCATAAAATCTTAAAAATTGGTTCATTGTGGGAAAATTTCCTGAGAACTTTTGCTTTGTTTCATTTTTTATGGTGACATATCAGACAAGCCATGGCACCACCGCCAAGTGTCTCGATAGTCCTAAATGGAGGGGGTTGTTCAGCTCTCACCGCTTTGTCAGTCTTTTTTTTTTTTAATATATGTCAGAGCTTCAGAAACATGGGGAAAATCATTCCTTGTATCAGTATAATTTAGTTTGTGCCCTGGAAATATTCCTGGGAAGAGCTGTGACTGCTGCCAGCAGAGCAGTTTCCTCTCAAGTTCCTGCAGCAGCCGGAAGTTTGGTTGTTGCAGTAGCCAAGATGGGAGTGAGCCAGGATAGAGCACAGGTAGGAACCGAGAGCCCAGTGTGACTCGGGACAGTCCAGACAAGATGGGATAGCCTGCCCCAGCACTTGGACACTTAGAGATTCGGAAGACTTGCAGAGAAGCGTGAGGCGGGAGTGTAATGATGGCTGAGGACTTGGGGGTCATGTGTACAGATTCTTAGAGTCGAGGGTTGGCTTGCTTCTTTAAGAACTGTGATTTTTTTTAAATATACTTTGTTCTTCCTCAGACTGAAATCTCTTTAATTCATTAAGCAGTTAGTTAGCTTACTATGTATTAGGTTTTATATTTCTTTTTATTTTACATGTTTCTTTGCACATATTTATAGTCTTTCCTTTCCCTTTTTACTAAATGACATCTTAAAGTATATTAAACAGCATTTATACAGGTTTAGTGCTAATTAGTTCTTATTCACAGTAGTTTTATACCAAATAAGCATATGTAATATAACTGAGTATATCAAACTTAGGCTTAGGTTATAAAATTTATAACTGTAAAGACTCAAGGGTAAAGTAGTATCTGGAATGTTATAATGTCCTTGTTTACATGTCTGAAATTGTCTAAACTTGATTGATTCAGCCCTCTGCTGTAATGTGGGCATATTAATATTCATTCCATTTAATCAAAAATTGTCTGTTCTATTACTATGAAGAGACACCATAACCAAGACAATTCTTATGAAAGAAACTATTTAATTTGGGGCTTGTTTATAGTTTCAGAGTGTTAATCCATTAGGGCAGGGAGCATGGTGGCAGGCAGGCAGACAAGGGGCTCAGAGCTTACTTACATTCTGACCTACAGGTAGGCAGGCAGACAGAGACACTGGGACTGGTAGAGGCTTTTGAAACCTAGAACAAAACCACACCTTCCTATCTTTCCTAAACAGTTTACTGACTGGGAACCAAGCATGCAAATATATGGGCCTTTCTCATTCAAACCACCACAAGGATTAAATGAGAATATGTCCTTGAAGCAGCCAACATAAGTATACTTAAAGCAAGTGTAAATAAACCAGTAAATAAGTATTCTTAGTAATGATCTCTTGTGCAGAAAGGCAATAGAGTTAATAATAATGTGTGTATTTCAAAACAGCTAAAAGAATGGACTTTAAATGGATAAGTTAATATATATCCACTCACCAAACAAGAGTGTGTGTGTGTGTGTATATATATATATATATATATCTATATATGTGTGTGTATATATAGAGGGTATATATATATACTCTACCTTATAATTATATATCTCGACTCTACCTTATAAAGTTATAGTTATTACTTATAAATTAAGACTTTAATATACTGAGGATAGTATAGTAAAGGCATCAGTTTTTTTATTATTGCTTTTTTTGTTTTGTTTTGTTTTGTTTTTTAAAACAGGGTTTCTCTGTAGCTTTGGAGCTTGTCCTGAAACTAGCTCTTGTAGACCAGGCTGGCCTCGAACTCACAGAGATTCGCTTGTCTCTACCTTCCAAGTTGGGATTAATGGTGTGCGCCACCGCCTGGCAAAAGTATCAGTTTTTAACTAGTCATATAAGTAGTCTTTAATTTAGACTATTTACTTTGTAACCAGTATTCTCCAATATAAATTCTGTGAAGAGCTTGCCCTTGAAAAAGTAGATCTTGTTGAAGGTGTAAAATATGAAGTTGACTGATGAAATGAGTATCTCACCACTTGACTTGCAGTGAAAGTCCTCATGCCCTTATGACACCCACAAGCTCATGTGATTAACCATGTCACCTGTGGCACAATTCTTTAGATTCTGCACTGTCCAGGCTTTGTGTATTTTTATTAACTCTGTCATCTGCAGGAAGCAGGTCTAAGCTGTGAACTGACAAGCTAGTAAATGCCCTCCACACAGAAGCACCTTGTATGTTATTTAAAGGCTCTTTCATGAATAAAAAGAGTACACCTCAAGCATATTTGATGGAAGGGCCACCTTTCCTATTTTCATGAAGTTGTGGGTCAGAGCTCCGCACACCAGCGTTTGAGACTCTCTAGTTTCAACTGCTTTGTGATTTCAAATGCTTTGGTGCCCTCCAAACTTGAGTTTTAGAGTGTGTAGTGCATTTGTTGAACCCTTCTTTCAGAGTTAGGATAGGTTTTAGAAAGAGGCTTCTGTTATAAAGGGATAGGTGACAGTGTTCTTCCTACTCCTCTGAAGAGAGGAGTTGAGCTGTCAGAAGTGGGGAAACAGGATTAATTCTTGAGTCACTTTATGTAGCAGAGGTTGAACGATGCTTCTCTTCACTCCGTCAGTGTGTGGAGAAATAGAAACCAATGAGTGCAGCTTTCCTTTCTCCACACAGCAATGAGAAAAGAAGCTTAAATGTCAATTTGTTGATATTACATTGTTAATATACTCCTACTACCTTTCTTCTCTAATACTCACCTTTAGAACTTGAAACAATTAAAATACATGCATCCCTGGACCATTATTTTTATTAAGTACAGCAATCATGTCCTAAAAGCTCACTGTCCTGTATGAGACTATTGTCTGTCTTTGAAGAAGCCAGGATATTATAATACAAAGGCAGAGGCCTCTGCATTACTAAAATTCTTCCTTCTAGCCAAGAAATAGTCTCAGACATTTTTCAGTGATGATCTCATACACAATTTGCAGCCCCCTGTATAAGTGCCAGTTCTGTTGGAGAAACTATGGTAAAATTGTTCAGTATCTAAACATCTTCATGGTGATTCTCATATGTGTATATAAAATTATGGAACAAAACAGCAACATTCATAAAACCACTCCTGTTTCTAAATGACCTCTTTACACAGTAGTCAATAAATAAGTATACACAACGAACTGTTTTCTAAATGACACACAGACAGTATTTGAAAAATGCAGGAATTTTTGTGGTCATCTGAAAATTCGTAGACTGGTAATAAGTAGCATTAACTGACAGGGTCCAAATAGTTCCCATAAGCATGGTTTTCTGAGCTTTTGGAGTTCTGTTAGTGAGAAGACATGGAGCGCCATCTTGTTATCTGAACTGTTAATACTTTGTTATGTTGATGCTTTTTCCTTCTGAGTTGTTAAAAGTAGCAGTGTGCTTTTTGGCACTCTATGCAAGATCAGCTCAGTATTGCAAATTAATTATTGAATGCATACATACACGTGCACACACACATGCTTGAATATATACTTGCCATACATGCATGCGTACATGCTCACATTCATAGACTGTTTCATCATCTGCTTACTCTAAAATACACATGATGGGAGGCCATATTTAATCCATATTTCTAGTATCTCATCCCCTTTATTCTTAAATATTGAGAACTATATTTTTTGGGCAGAGTTTTACCACTTCCTAGAGGACTAAAGTTTAGGATTTACTAGTTATCTTTGTGATCAATATAAATTAATGTCTTACAAATTAAATTAGCCTTTTGGTTGATAAAGTGCTCATCAAGGATAGGAAGGAAGGTGTTTCAAAAATACTTATTGTGACATAGGAAGCAGGTAACCTTGAGTTTTGGATCATTTGCAGATAAAATATAAATAATATGTATCTTGAAACAAGGCTATTATTATGAACTGTTGGTGATTTCCAACTTTATTGACAGTTCCCAGGACAAGGCTGCACTTTTATTTTGTGATTTTGATCTGATAGTAAAGAATTTGGTTGCTAGTGTTGGCTTAAAAAATCTTTCAGAAAAATGATATTATTTGTAAAACTACTTTCTCCTTTTATAGACCTGCTGAATTTGGATTCGGGACCTCATTTCTTTCACCGTTCATATCAGTATAGGAGTAGGGTTTCTGCTGAGAGCCCCAGATTGTAGTTTTGTGTAGAATCCTTCTGTTTTCTTGTTTTG